TGTAAAATATGGTGAATTACAGACACTTCACAGAATAGCCAGATAATAGAATAACAAGCCAGTGTGAGTCTAAAGGTCAAAATGGGAAGTCAGAAATCTCATCACACAGAAGGAACATTTAAGTTAGCATTTACTTTTCTGATTACAGACAGCCTTTTGAATTGGAGCATTTCTAAACATAATAGCTTGTCTAAAATAACTAATTTATTTTATTATTATTATTGTCATGATGACAGTACATAATATTTGACTAGACATTCTTCAAGATACTAGTATTCACCTTAAAGTGACATTTAAAGGCTTAGTTAGGTTAATTATGCAAGTTAGGGTTATTAGGCAAGTCATTGTGTGACAGTGATTTGTTCTGGAGACAATCTAAAACAAATATTTTGCAAAAGTTCTAAAATATTATTATTTAATCCTACATTAAAACATGTAGGAATTTACATTCAAATCTGCAATCCGTTTTAAGTTTAACAGAAAAAAGAAGCCAATTGTGTCAGTGGTGCTGCCTTTTATGACTCTGGTGCACTAAGTTGTGATTATGCTTAAACACTTACTTAAACGCTGGTGCTATTGGTAGTGGTTTCGGTTGTTGTGGTCTTAGTCGTGGTACTTTCTAGAGTTGCGGTGCCAGCTGTTGTGCTCTCAGTTGTTGTGGTGCCAGTTGTGGTGCTTTCTGGAGTTGTGGTGCCAGTTGTGGTGCTTTCAGTTGTTGTGGTCTCAGTTGTGGTACTTTCTGGAGTTGTGGTGCCAGTTGTGGTGCTTTCGGTTGTTGTGGTGCCAGTTGTGGTGCTTTCGGTTGTTGTGGTCTCAGTTGTGGTGCTTTCTGGAGTTGTGGTGCCAGTTGTGGTGCTTTCGGTTGTTGTGGTGCCAGTTGTGGTGCTTTCTGGAGTTGTGGTGCCAGTTGTGGTGCTTTCGGTTGTTGTGGTCTCAGTTGTGGTGCTTTCTGGAGTTGTGGTGCCAGTTGTGGTGCTTTCAGTTGTTGTGGTGCCAGTTGTGGTGCTTTCAGTTGTTGTGGTCTCAGTTGTGGTGCTTTCTGGAGTTGTGGTGCCAGTTGTGGTGCTTTCGGTTGTTGTGGTGCCAGTTGTGGTGCTTTCTGGAGTTGTGGTGCCAGTTGTGGTGCTTTCGGTTGTTGTGGTCTCAGTTGTGGTGCTTTCTGGAGTTGTGGTGCCAGTTGTGGTGCTTTCGGTTGTTGTGGTGCCAGTTGTGGTGCTTTCGGTTGTTGTGGTCTCAGTTGTACTTTCTAGAGTTGTGGTGCCAGTTGTGGTGCTTTCTGTTGTTGTGGTCTCAGTTGTGGTGCTTTCTGGAGTTGTGGTGCCAGTTGTGGTGCTTTCGGTTGTTGTGGTCTCAGTTGTGGTACTTTCTGGAGTTGTGGTGCCAGTTGTGGTGCTGTCAGGTGTTGTGGTGCCAGTTGTGGTGCTTTCAGTTGTTGTGGTCTCAGTTGTGGTGCTTTCTGGAGTTGTGGTGCCAGTTGTGGTGCTTTCGGTTGTTGTGGTCTCAGTTGTGGTGCTTTCTGGAGTTGTGGTGCCAGTTGTGGTGCTTTCGGTTGTTGTGGTCTCAGTTGTGGTACTTTCTGGTGTTGTGGTGCCAGTTGTGGTGCTTTCGGTTGTTGTGGTCTCAGTTGTGGTGCTTTCTGGAGTTGTGGTGCCAGTTGTGGTGCTTTCTGTTGTTGTGGTCTCAGTTGTGGTGCTTTCTGGAGTTGTGGTCTCAGTTGTGGTGCTTTCAGTTGTTGTGGTGCCAGTTGTGGTGCTTTCAATTGTTGTGGTCTCAGTTGTGGTGCTTTCTGGAGTTGTAGTGCCAGTTGTGGCGCTTTCGGTTGTTGTGGTGTCAGTTGTAGTACTTTCTGGAGTTGTGTTGCCAGT